GACATTGGACTATTTTTGGGAATCACTGGTGTGTGATAAATGTGGACAGAGTTTTTGATCCAACATTTATGGGAATATTCTAAGTACTTGTTCTGTACTTGGAAATTTACCTTGCTTGTGTATCTGCCTGATGGCATTGCGTAGACAGTTTTGAGTTTTTGACTTTATTATTGTTGAATAGAACCACATAGATGTGTCGACGAAAAATCCTCATTTTGCTGTCATTGGAGCGTTTTGTTATTGCTGCATGTCTCAAGGAAGTTTTGTCAGCTATACAGTGGGAGGTAGAGATCAGTTTCCAGCTTTCAAACCACAATGGATCGGTTTTTGTCGCAGCGGTGTCAATAAAAATGTGTCTTATAATAAATGAATGGCTATATCAGCTTTAAGGTATTAGCTGTATTTCTCTCCCCTTTCAAGGAACTACTTTGATGATGCAATTCATCAGTTCGCTGAAAGGTAAATGCAGAATGTATTTCAGTCTCCTGGTTGGCTTTTCTACTGACTGTCTTATCCAGATTATGGATTTTCACGAGACTGACTGATAGAAGTTAGCGAAAATAAAACACCTAATTCAGCGAAGAGTCTATTTTAGGCTAATACGATCCTCTTTTTAGCTGCACAGTCGCATTTATATATAATTATTTTTTATGAAGTAGCGCAGTCACAAAGTGATGAGTTGTCCCAATCACAGTTGTTAATATCAGTCATTGTATACGAGGAGTTGAGTAAATGCATTGGAGTTACATAATCAGATGAACAGATCAATGAGTGAGTTGTAATCAGGATGCACATAGAAAAGAAGGAAAATGTGGAATAATGTAAGAGTTCTAAACAAATACAAGAGTTATGAGGAGTTAGAAAAACAAACAAGCATCCTGAATAAAACTCATTCAGCGAATTATTCATCTAATTAATATCACTTCAATACGCTTGTTCAACCCCTCTTAGGCGCTGACTAATACAACTCATCACTTTGTGACTACTCTTCTTCATGAAAAAATCGCGTATAATGCAGCTGGAGGAAATGAATTCACCAAAAATAACCTCTTTTCTGAACTAAGTTTTTTTCATTGTTTAGATGGAAATTATTCATGAATTGTTTAATAGACAGAATTAGAAATTGTAAGAGATATGTCGTTTGGAATTTTTAGAAGACTATCAACGAAATTTCTTCATCATCTTTTTCTTCCCAGTGGAATTCCTTGCATCGCTTCGATTTAACAAGGGTGACATGGAGGAGATCGTGTGAAGAGGAATTGAAACAGTATGGATTAACATGGACGCAGGTGAAAAGTAGAGCAGAAGACAGAAGCAAGTGGAGACGTGTAGTTGAAGCCCTATGTTCCACTTGGAACCCAAGGGAACAATAATAATAAATAATAATAATATGACTATAAGATTTCATTGAGTGAGGTCCATGCAATATTATGTATACCTGACACCTGATTTTGTAGACGTGCTTACTTTATATCTGAAACTAACAATTTTCCTTTCTATTTCACCATTAGCATAGTGGTATTGCAAAAGGTATGGTAAGAGGGAAAGGTGCCTACTGACTGGAGGAAAGATTACCTCGTGAAACTACCAAAGAAGGGCGACTTAGGACTCTGCAAGAACTGGCGAGGAATCATGCTCCTGTCGATGCCAAGTAAAATCCTGAGTCGCATCATCCTGGAGACAATAAAGGACGCACTGGATACAGAACTCCGACTAGAACAAGCTGGATTCAGGAAAGGCAAATCATGTTCTGACCAAATTGCAACTCTACGCATCATCATCGAACAAAGCATGGAATGGCAATCAAACCTCTATCTCAACTTTATAGACTTTGAGAAGGACTTCGACAGCGTTGACCGCGAAGTAATTTGGAAACTACTCGAGTACTATGGCGTACCCCAAATATTCATCAACCTTATTCAATAGCTGTACGACAACGACACATGTCAAGTGATCCACAACGGAAAACTCAGCGAGGCTTTTGGAGTAAACACAGCAGTCAGACAAGGGTGCTTATTATCACCAATGATATTCCTAATTGTGGTGGACTGGATTATGCGTCAGACAGTGGGAAATGAGGAGACAAGGATATCCTGGACCGACGTGAAGAATCTAGAAGACCTGGATTTCGCGCGTGGATGATTTATGTTTGATGTCACACAAAATCGAAGACTTACAAGCGAGAACCGACAAACTGGTCGAAGAAGCAGGCAGTTAAGACAGGACTCCAGGTGAACATAGACAAGACGGAGGTTATGAAAATAAACAACCAACAACAACAACAACAGCAACATCCAGCGCCAATCACCATCAACGGGAGGGATTTGAAAGAGGTTACTTCATTCACTCACTTATCTAGGGAGCATTGTCTCAACTACAGGAGGAACGGACGGGGATGTCAAATCGAGAATCGGGAAGGCGAGAAACACATTCATCAACCTGAAACCAATCTGGAAATCTTCATCACTCAACATCAACAACGAAATTCGGATTTTCAATACAAACGTCAAGTCAGTTCTTCTATACGGATCAGAAACTTGGCCAGTGTGTCACCAAGAATATTTCCAACAGCCTGTTGCAGACCTTTATCAACAGCTGTCTTCGTTCTATACTGAAGATCAGATGGCCAGGAAAGAATCACAAACAAGAAACTATGGGAACAAACAAAGCAAGAACCAATCGCTCAACAAATATGCAGGAGAAAGTGGAGATGGATTGGACACTCGCTGAGCTGAGGAAGCCGCTGGGTGACATCGCGCGTCAGGCCATAGCTCGAGTGGAACCCGAAAGGGAAGCGGCGAGTGGGACGTCCAAGGGTGACATGGAGGAGATCGTGTGAAGAAGAGTTGAAACAGTATGGATTAACATGGATGCAGGTGAAAAGTACAGCAGAAGACAGAAACAAGCGGAGGCGTGCAGTTGAAGCCCCATGTTCCACTAGGAACCCAAGGGAACGATAATAATAGTAAATAGTAATTTTTTCTGCTTTCAAGGATTTCAAAAAGTTATACGTAAATACATGTATATATGTTTAGTTTAAGTTTGAATTCGCAGCTTCGGATTTCAGATAAATAAAATACTTTTTGCGGGAAAAGAACAAGAAGTTCATCAAACAGATATCTTTTCGGCAATTTTATTCTAATTAGCAGCTGTACAGTCACATTTGTGTACATAAGTTTAAGTAGATACGGTTATTATTTAGTTTGGCAGACTGCTTTATCACGATTTCGAGAAACAGGATCTAAAATCTACATTAGACAAATTACTGCCGTAGAAAAGGTATGTCAACGCCACTTTTATAATCTGTCATAATGATTCCGACTTAAATTGTATCTTACAGGAGTTTAATACTTGTCATCCTTCATTTAAATTCGCGGAATAATTGGAAAATGAATCAAGGATTCCATTTCCATTTGTTAAAGATAATGATGGAACTCTGAAAAGATCAAAGTACAGGAAAACACCATAGAATGCCCAACGGACGAACTTCTACATCATCTCACTGACCCACGGTATCAAAAGAACTTGCAGCATTGACTACTTAGAAGAAGAACTCTTATTTCTCAAAAATAATTTTCAGAAAAATGGAAACCCTGCACGTTTCGTGGAGAAGGAAATAACAACCAAAGCCAAAAAGAGAAGGATACAATAGTGGCAAAGGAAATACCATATTCAGATCTGGACTTCGGGAGTGACTTAGCGGCAGATATCCTCAGGAAGAGAATCTAATATTCCTTAAAGAATACCTTTTCTGCAGCAAGTCCAAGGGTGATATTCTGTAGCTGCTCACTGCTTCTAAGCAATAGGCAGGATAAATTTCCACATGCAACCATTGCAATATGCATAAATCAGATCACTTGCTCATGTAGAGCTAGATACATAGGTTCTTTTTTCGCACCTTTTCAAAACTCGCTAGAGGACATTATCCAGCATGGCTGTAAAGGATAGGCAATGGTTCAGTCTAGAACGCCATAATTGAATACCTCATCAACACTTGTCAGAGAATCTCAACTGACTTATTACTCAGAGTCTTTTACAAGGTCAATAAAAATCTGCCAAAGGCAGTGTGTTTCTAACTTCTTTGTACTGCATAGGTCCTCGCCATATGCATCGAAAAGCCGTAGCTATAAGTTCAAAAGAAACCTGTGTAAACTCAACATTTACCATTGATCGCGTTCAGGGTTTTGTTCTTTCATTCCGATCATCTTTCTCTCTTCATTTTGTTTCCGTACTCGTCTCGCTCACACCTGTCTTCATTAAAAACTATTTTACAGAGTGTTCACCTAGTTCCTAATACTGCGATTAGGTTATTTCTAAGACCCTTGTAATCTATATTCACACCTTCGAACTTTCATATCAATTGGAAAATTCTTGTCACCTTTAATTGCCATTGTACATCTGCTTTTGAGAATGAAATCGCCGAAAAGGCATCTGTTTGCCAAGTTTCTTGTTCTTTACTGTCTAATATCCTAATGGGTATTTTCCACGATTTGAAAAAAAACAACTTTGGCTTCCTATGTAATAAACTGTTACTCATTACTAGTTATGGTCTAATTGTTTGTTAAGGTAGGCGTAGATAAAAATCTCTTACATTAAAATAAAGAACTTGAATAATTTAAATCAACCGGCGTCTTACTCGATGCAAATAAACTTTCGGTTTATACATTTTCACATCATTATTGAGATGCCTATAATTACTAGTAATCGAATAATAGCCTACTTTTTTTTCCTCCTTAAGAAGAATGAAGTTATTATTTAAGATAAAAAAGAAAATACATTTTTAAATATATTTTTAGCCCCCAATTTCCCAGGTCAAAAATATCCAATCAGTTCATTCATTGTATTTTCATTGATATTTACCGGGAAATATAAACAAACCAATCGCCTTTAATCACATGACTTTTAATCATTGACGTTTAACCAATCAAAAGGAAAAAGAAGAAGCGTTTCATTCACATACCAGTGTACAGCATACGTACATGATAGTACATTCATTGACTATCACAAATGATTGTTAATACATTTGTGTATGTAGGCATATTCGTGTATACAGTGCATACATGAAAGGAGTTATGACTATTATATGTGTCTACCTGTATATGGTTTAATCTCAGTGTTTTGGAAATTTTGAACAAGCTATTTTTCAGCACTAAAACATACCTCGAGGATATCCTATTGAATTCTACCGTTAATCAAACAGAATAACTATTGTCACAAAGTCATCTTTGCACAGTATGATACTTTCTACATGAACGTTTTTTCTGATTTTCTTTAAAAGAAACAATGTCAATAAATTTTAATAAATTATTTATACAAGATATACTATCACGACGAGAATCTTCACATGCTCTTGACTTAAATGATGAAGGTCCCAAGATAACTGAAGAATCGGAATACTGTGGAGATGATAATGAAGGCGATGATGATGACGATGACGAGTATGACAGTGAAAAGGAAGATGGTGATGGGGAAAATTCCAGTGGTGATGAAGATTACGATGATGATTATGATGATGACGAGGATGATTCACCACACCTGTCAGATGCGTCAGATTATGCTGATGCTGCTGAGGCGAACAAAAACACCAATCATAAATCTAGAAACAAAATCAATACAGGTAAACATTCTCAGAAGCGAAGGCTTATTTCAGCCCTAGACAATCTACGACTGGCTGTAGATAAACAGGCTAAACTACAGGCTATGGTAAATGGTTATCCAAGTGAAGATTTCTCTCAAGACTATTCTAGAACTTTAAAGTTACATTCAGTCAAAGAGATTAGCCCTAATACGGATAGGATAAAAGAACAAACTGTAGTTGATTCTCATCCTCCTCCTCAACCTCAACAAAGTCATAATCACCACTTAGAACTTCCTTTACTGAATGACAAATATGAATCTAAAAGGTGCATAGAAGTTGAAGATGAACACAAAGGAGAAGAAACTTCAGATTCAATTAGTAAACATGATCATTTGAAATCATTACATAAGCAAGTGAAAAAACAAGGTCAATATACTCCTACTACTACTACTACTACTACGGATATATCAGTGCCTGTTGTGGATAAAGAAGCCTTAGCCTTCAGAAGAAATGAACGATTGTCAAAAAGAAAAGAAAGAGTAAGTCATACAACCTTGTATTATAATTTTTTATTTAAATTTTGACTATAATCCTGTTGTAGAATCCTTAGTAAACCTTCATTAGGCAAGTTAAATTATAGCTAGCGCCATCAATTACCTTCTAAATGACCTTGAAAGACAAATCATATTAAAACGACATTAAGAATGGTGAATTTGTTAATGAATTGTATATCCGTATATATAGCTTTATTTCTTGATTAATTTCTGAAATAATGTTCCTCAGTTAGGCATAATAAATAATCCAATTTTCGTATAAAACTAGGAGAACATGATTTTTAAGCAAGCAAATATGCGTTTTTGGTAAATTCTTATCAGGCTTTGCAATTGCATGATACAATATCAGTTATAGACATCTCAAAACAATGGTAGTCAATAGAATCAAGCATAATCGAGGAGAATGTGAGTGAAATAATAATAACAATAATAATAAATTGTTAGGCTAAGATTAAAATGTATAACTATAACAGAGTATGACATTGGTAATGAAGTGAGCAGTACAATTGAAACCAAAAATAATATTTACAGTTATCTGGTATCACCGGGAGAGATAAGGATCCCAGGTTGGAGTTGAAGGCCACGGGAGGGAGAGAGGTTGAACAAAATGTTTTTGAACAGAAGGAATGAATGGAAAATATATTATGGCAACTGCCTCAACTATGCTTAGCAATCGAAAGCGTATCAGCCTATGGAATTGAGGTGGCACCTTGTGCAGAATCACAAAGACTGAATGTTTTATCAGTCTTGTGCTCCGTATCTACAAGGTGTGGTAGTATGCAACTCTTGCATGACTTTGTGACTCCTTTACCTAATCACGTTGGACAATACTCAAGAAGGCAATAGTGGGCTTGATCAGTTGTTTTACCTTTGTAACTGCCTCTCAACACAAAAACAATTACATTTATAAATACACACTGAAGTGGCCAAACTCGGTAGCTTATCCTTCACCTGAAATGGAATCAGTGGAATTGTGTGTATCAGCGGCATAGCGGTTAGGACGCTCGCTGACCATGCACATGGTCCGGAGTTCAATCCCCGGCCGAAGCACACCTGATATCAATGGTCGGCCTGCAAAATTTGAGCTACGGATATCGCATGCTGGGATTTCCAAAATATTGTGGAATCCAGCTATAGTTAAAAAAACACGTTTCGGTGAAGGATGCTTCAGCTATTATTTTTCTAACTTCCGATGCTAGTAATTCGATAGCTGAGTCTTCTTTGAACAGTAAAGTTACATCTATACCTTCCTCCTGCATAGTTTCCAGGCATTTCTCCTGGGATCTGTGCTCGTCATCGAAACGTTAACAAATTTTTCTGGATTTCTGTTCTCACATAATACTTTTCCTGTTTTCTTTATTTCATTGTCGAGAGTGTTGGTTGTGCAGAGTTTTCTAGCAGAGGACATCAGGTTACTGATAAGATGACATTCTCCTTGGTTGTGCTTGATTCCATTGATTCACGTTGTCTCTGGTGTCTATGAATGATATTTTATTGTGTAATTGTAAAGCCTGGTAAGAATTTACCGAAAATGCTTATTCGTTTGCTCACTTAAATCGTGTTCTAAAATGATCTCAGTGAGAATTTTTAAATTATTGAAAACTAGAAGACCAGATGAAGAGAAAACTTCGAATGCCATATATGTGTGGCATTCATGAAATGAATGACGTGTTGGTTCTGCTTCAGTGTGATGGTTGACGTATTGGCAGAGGGGTGGGAAGAGGGCTGCCATAGTTTAACTCAACTTTCTAATATTTTGTACAGAGCACATACAATTACCACGATAACACTAGACGGAATGTGATTAATGAACAGATTTACGTGAACAACTCTTAAAGTTTGAATGTGCAACAGAAATGATTTAAATTTAAAAATTTAAAAACGATTTCCTCTCATGAAGAAGTTTGTAAAATCATTAGTTCATAAATCTGTTTTGTAAGTCGGAACATCTGGAATCAAATTTCCAAGAATTAGTAAAAATATGAGTTTCAGTTCGCGTATGCTAATTTTAGGTAGTTCCCTTGGAATTGGAGTTAAGATTTCGATTTCTAAGTATTAAACAACAATAATTTGATTTAAAGTTGTGGTGGTTCATTGGCACAATACTCACCAACCACATCTCACCTCGCAGATGACGTACTCCTAAACGTTTCTTAACTGGTTGTAAGTCGAGCGAAGAGGAATGGTCGGGTGTAAGACTAACAACCCTACTCCGCAAAAAGTAAGCACCACTGTTACTGAAATTTCAAGACTCAAGCTTGAAACCCCACTTTCCACTTTAAACGCAAAAGAGTGAAAACGTTCCCATAGAGATTTCTTTTATGTGAGCTTTTTATGGTACTTAGATGTTTACAGGATTTCAACATGAGCCTATCAGGGAGTAATGGACAGCTGTTTCGTCCTAGTTTGGGAATCTCCATCAATATGCATTCACAGGGATTTGAATCCAGCATCTTCAGGCTTTAAGACGAGCTCGTAGACCCACAATAGCCCATGAGTTCCGACTTCTGCTGACCGGCTGTATCCCACTGGTCACGACTTCTCACTACAAACCAGATAACTACCTACCTGAATAGGGGCAGCCGCTAGTGAGCATCTAATTAAGATTCTTGTGAACTGGTAAAACTTAGAATTCATGGGTCATTTGGTTGGGTTCTAGTGCCTGAATGGTCTGCGATCTCGCCTTGTAACGAGAATTTCCTGGGCTGGAACCCTGGCGGTAAGTGTGCACCGATGAAGAGTCATAAACTAGGGCAAAAAACTCCCCAGTACTCACTCCCTATGGGTTTTTAATGGTTCTGTGTCTGATATCAATCCGTGACGGAACTTGGAAAAACAAATCTTTTCCCTACAAAGTAACTCTTGAAAATATCATTAAATTTTTATGTCAGTAAACTGTCTATTAAAGGCAAAGCTGCTCATAATCTGTAATGTAAAAGGTCGACGAACTCGTGAAATCTACTACATAAGGGGGCAGGTTGTTTGGAAGTGAGCATCAGATTGATATTTACGTGTTGGTTTGCAAACGGGAGGGATTTGAAAGAGGTTACTTCATTCACTTATCTAGGGACTATTGTCTCAACTACAGGAGGAACGGACGAGGAGGTCAAATCCAGAATCGGGAAGGCGAGAAACACATTCATCAACCTGAAACCAATCTGGAAATCTTCGTCACTCAACTCAGCATCAACAACAAAATTCGGATTTTCAATACAAACGTCAAGTCAGTTTTTCTTTACGGATCAGAAACTTGGCCAGTGTGTCACAAAGAATATTTCCAACAGCCTGTTGCAGACCTTTATCAACAACTGTCTTCGTTCTATACTGAAGATTAGATGGTCGGAAAGAAACTACGGGAACAAACAAAACAAGAACCAATCGCCCAACAAATATGCAGGAGAAAGTGGAGATGGATTGGTCACTCGCTGAGCAGGCCGCTAGGTGACATCGCGCGTCAGGCCATAGCTCGAGTGGAATCCGAAAGGGAGGCAGCGAGTGGGAAGTCCAAGGGTGACATGGATGAAATCGTGTTAAGAGGAACTGAAACAGTATGGATTAACATGGATGCAGGTGAAAAGTAAAGCAAGAAGACAGAAGCAAGTGGATACGTGTAGTTGAAGCCCTATGTTCCACTAGGAACCCGAGGGAACAATAATAATAATAATGAAAAATGTTGGTTTTCAAGGGTTTGGTTGGTTACACGATTTCATCATAAGATATTTGATCCCTTAGGAATTCTACACGAGCATTTCGATTGCCCCAAAAATGGAAGGTACGTTAGAGTAGATAACGTGACTATTCAACATTTTATTAAAAAACAAGATGATTCACATTCACTCAATTTTCAGTATTATTCGGCGCCAGTTTCCATGCAATAAGGCTCATACTTCTTTTAATCCCACTAATAAGCAGTACATTTTTGTCAGCTTTCGCTAATTTCCTTAATGCATAAATAAATATGGAACAAAGTCTATGAAACATACAGTTGGTGTAAATAAACTAATTCAGTAATGTACACATGTGCTGCATACACGAGTAGAGAATGATTTATGGCTCAGAATGGGGATGATTACTCAAAATGCTGTTGAATAAGATTTGAAATCTTTTGTCTTCACTAATTATCATATTAACAAAAACTCTAGTCAGTAACTTGTAAATAAGACAGACCATTAAAACCATCTTATTATTATTCCCTTGGGTTCCGAGAGGAACCAAGACCTTCAAAAGAACATCTCCATTTCTTAATCCCAGTCCCCTACAATTAGGAATACTACTGGTGATAGTAGGGAGCTTTTTCTTACTCACGTATTCAATTGGAACGCCACTCGGAGTTTTCTGTTTTGGATCACTAGAGTGAATAAGTAGAATCTAAAATTTAAATTTTTTTTCAACAGTTGCCTTAACTTACCTTCCGGTGACAGAAAAGTAGAGGTCATGATTTTGTTGTCACTTTTCTGATTAGCTTGTAATGGAAGGTAATTTCCCAGAATTACTGGCCACAGCATTCATCAATGAACTTTGGATGCTGAACCTCACTGTTTGAGTCAACTTGTTTAGCTGAAGGCTTCCGGTCAAGCATCCACGCCATTTGGTACACCGTCGTATCACGTTCATTCGTGCACGATCCCTAGCTAGCTAAGCAATCATCTCTCACTCCGATATGGTCCCGAAATATATCTCGTAATTTGGGCGATCAATTCTTGTGTTTTGCTTTGGCTTTGGTCTATGCAGAACGAATACTATAGAAGGTCTGGGTATTAGATCTTCCGTTAGCATACTTCGTACTATCCGTGAGCGTCAATACCTTCAGCCTCTAAAAGCTTAATGTACATTTATGGAGAACTCAAGGGTAGTTCACCAATTACACTTCCGTCAGTATTCAGAAACAGTAATGTAACACTTTATCCTCTATTTATGTCAGCAAATCTCCTCGGTCAATATTCCCTCCTACATCAGCAGTCATTTAACACAAAAGTTTTACAAAC